ATCATCATCATCATCATCATCATCATCATCATCATCATCATCATCATCATCATCATCATCATCATCATCATCATCATCATCATCATCATCATCATCATCATCATCATCATCATCATCATCATCATCATCATCATCATCATCATCATCATCATCATCATCATCATCATCATCATCATCATCATCATCATCATCATCATCATCATCATCATCATCATCATCATCATCATCATCATCATCATCAGCATCATCATCATCATCATCATCATCATCATCATCATCATCATCATCATCATCATCATCATCATCATCATCATCATCATCATCATCATCATCATCATCATCATCATCATCCAGCATCAGCATCATCATCATCATCATCCATCATCATCATCATCATCATCAGCATCATCATCATCATCATCATCATCAGCATCAGCATCAGCATCAGCATCAGCATCATCATCATCATCATCATCATCATCATCATCATCATGATCATCATGATCATCATCACCATCATCACCATCAACATCATGAACATCATCATCGTCCTCATCATCATCATCATCATCATCAGCAGCAGCAGCATCAGCATCATCATCAGCAGCAGCATCACCATCATCAGCATCATCATCGGCATCATCATTAGCAGCAGCAGCAGCATCATCATCATTATCATCATCAGCAGTATCATCATCATGAGCATCATCATCATCATCATCATCATCATCATCCCCATCAGCATCCTCATCCTCATCATCGGCATCCTTATTCGCAGCAGCAGCATCATGATTATCATCATCATCATCATCATCATCAGCAGCATCATCATCATCATCATCAGCATCATCATCAAAATCAGCATCATCATCATCCTGACGCCCCCCCCTCCTCCCCCTCCTTGGGAGGCCCAGTGGAAGCTCGGTGCGCGCAGGGCGCACGAGGGCGGGCCAACCTCTGGCGCAGGCTTGAACACGACAGGGCGACAACAGCCGCATCACTCCTCTTCATCCTCCTCCTCCTCCTCCTCCTCCTCCTCCTCCTGTTCCTCCTCCTCCTTCTCCTCCTCCTCCTCCTCCTCCTCATCCTCTTCCTCCTCCTCCTCCTCCTCCTCCTCCTCCTCCTCCTCCTCCTCCTCCTCCTCCTCACTCCTCACTCCTCAATTCTCAGGAAGCAGGAGAAAAGGAACAGCAGGAGAAGCATGAGGAGAATTAGAGCCCGATTGCTGAATGACTAAGCGGCCCGAGCAGCACGGCCCCGCAGCTACGGAGCGGAGCTGGAGAATAACCTCAATCAACCAACCATCGACGCTCATGCGATTAAACGTTCGGATTCCTATCCCTGGTCCCAGGGGAGATGGCGAAGTCAACTCGCAGGGGCGGCGCCGCCAGATCCCGTGCATGCCCCGCGTTTCCTGGCATCCGCGCACCCTCATAAATGTCATTGCTGATCATTGCTGATCTGGATGACCTGGCCATGGAGGGCGGCAAAGACGCGGAGCACCTCCTCGGAGTCCCGCAAGAGCAAGCGCGACCGACCTGGGAGGGCAGATGGGTCTTGAGTCGCCAGGTGGAGGTACGTGCCAGCCCGGAAATCTTTCGAGGACGCGACTTCCTCGAGCTGGACCCGGGTGTTCGCACTGAGATGCTGGATCAACAACCTGAGAACCTCCCCGTCCTCCCTCCCGATGTCTCCTTTGACCATGATGTCGGTGAGGTGATCGAAGGAGGAGGGCCCCCGAGCCTGAGCGCCCTGGCGGCGACGAGAGGCTGCAAGGGCAGATACTGTGGCCGACGGGGAAGGAAGAGCTCCCCCCCCCGCAGCGCAACGGCTTCCACTTCACGGGACGCACAAGGACATACTAGTACTATGTGTCCTCGGAGGCGCGCGTCCGACCCGAACATATAGTATCACCATCTTGTAGTATGTCGTTTCCCGAGCGGTGTGGCCAGAAAGCGCCCGCCACGACGCATGTACTGTAAGAGTTCGCGGTGCGCGCGTCGCCCCTGGCGGGGCGACGCAACGTAGTATCAGTATGTTGGGGGGGCGCCGACTTCAAGCAAGCGGCGGCGTAGCTGGGGTCGGTAGCGAGCACCGTGCGCACCAGCTCGTCCCACGAGTTCGCGGCAGCCTCCGTGCAGCCAGGGAGCTTGCCCGATGGGCGAAGACGGAGCGCCCGTGCGCACAGCGGCCCAACATGATGGAAGCACTCCATAGACCTGACCTCCGAGATGGCCGCACGGGGATCGCCGAACATGCTGGGCGACCCGTTGTACACGGTCGAGGGGAGAACGGCCCTGAGACAGTGTCGGGGAGACGTAAGACTCGGGCACGGGGGACTCGGGATTGGCCTGACAGGGCCATCGCAAAGATGACGAGACCCGATCCGAAATTTGACGCGAGCTCCAGCTGCAAACACCCCACGAAAACTGGACAGTCGGAATCCAGGACGCGCTCGTCGAAAAATGTCGGCGAACCCGAGTTTTGGCTTACTCGAGTCTTACGTTTCCCCGACAGAAGGGGAGCAAGACCTGGTCGAGCTCCACGAAGCAGCTCCGGGAGGAGAAGGTCGACGCAGCCGCGCGGCACGGCGGCGGTGATCCCGGAGCTACGCCGACAACGACGGCAAGAAGTCCATCAACGCATCCGCGTGGACCACCAGAACCGCGGCCACCTGCAACAAGGGGGGGGCCTCGAAGTCGATCATCTTGGGGACTGGCCGCAGGCCTCTGTGCGAGGTGGTGACAATCGCTAGCCCAGCTCGTGCACGACGGGGGCCACCTCGCACAGGGGTGATCAGCTCCAAGGGGCGGGCGGAGAAAAAGCACTCCTGGACAAGTGGAGCCCACTGACCGCTGAGTAGACCCAGACCCCCGACGTCGTGATTTGTTCAATTTGTTCCAAAAAACACAAGCCACCGCGTAGCCAGAACCTCTTCGGGGTCCTCGGCAACATCCCTCGGCAGCTCCACGCCGTCTCGGCCCAGTTCCTTCCACAGCGGGAGACGCGCCCCCTTGAAGCGACGCTGTTCGGCCAAGACCATGGGCAACTTCTCCAGACAATTGGCCCCCGCAACACGGAATGCCTCGGCAGCAGTATAAAAGAAGAAAAAAACATAAGCACAAACTTGTGGCGCTCCGCGCGGAGCGCCAAAAAATAGTGTTTATGGCATGGTTTCTCCTGCGACAGTAGCAGCACGAGCCTCATCCGCCGCCGGCCAGGTCGCCGCGGCGGCAATGCCGGAGAGCAGGCCCCTGCTGCGCGGCCCCTCGCGGCGACGAGGTGCTCGCAAGGGCTTCTGGGCACTCAAGCAATGCGAGGGCCCGCCGTCGCCACGGGCCTGCTGACGACGGATCGCATGCCAACCGATCAAGGGAGGGGGAGGAGGGGGAGAAGGAGGAGGAGGAGGAGGAGGAGCGAGCGTCCATGAAGAAGGTCAAGGTCAGCCCCGCCTAGGGCCGCTGAGTGCGCGCGGGCGCGGAGCCTCTCAGGCTCACGTCGAAGAAGTCCAGGGCGTCGTCGGCGGGGACGAAGGGGGTGAGGGAGCCGTCGGACGCGTCGACGGCCAGTGCGGAGTGACCAGGAACAGTGCCATCATCTTCAGGCGCAGCATCACCAGTCCCGCTGTTTTCCATGTCCGAAGGGTCGAAGTCGGGGAAGGCCGCGGGGGGGGAGGCCAACGAGACCACCCCGATAGCGTCCAGCGCAGCAGGATCGAAGGGCGTGTAGTCGGGGAAAGCACCTTCACCCCTGGCGGAAGTGCCAGCTTGATCATCTTCCTGAGAGGGCGGAACATGGTGTGCAGGCTCGGGCACAGGAAGAGGACCACGTACAGGATCAGCTGGCAGCTCGCTATGTGAGGCGACGAGGGAATCAGGGTGTAGCAGCATCCACCGTATCATTTCACGGCTAGATTGTTGTAGAACAGGGTATAGAATGTCCATCGCGTAGTCGATCTGCTGGTTGGAGATCTTGTCATGCTGCGAGAGGTTGTCGGCCGACGCAGGAGCACCCTCAGTAGCCGCGCATGGAGCAGACGCAGAGGAAGCTGTCGATGTCAGGCGCGGGCCAATACCTTGGCTTAGAATATCAAGAGCTAGTTGGGGAGCAAGCGAAGTGTGCGGCAGAAGGCCAGTTACTCCCATCATCACGTCCACGTGCGCGCACTTGTTCCTCATCTGGGAGTCATGAGCAGGGGCAGGAAGAGCGCCAGGAGCGTGCACACTGCGTGGTGGTAGTTCTTCAGCGTGGCCATCCCTATCAACATGACGAGCGTGTTCAGGAGCAGGGAAAGCAGGTGGGAGTCGATCCACTGGTGGAGCACCCAGTTCTTGCGGGCCAGGGAGATCTTCGGAAGCCGCTTCAGGGACAGGGGGGGGATGGTCCCCAGGCGGAGGTACCAGGACAGGAGGAACGGCACGATCCGCTCGAAGGGCGCCCCCCACGGAGCCGTCAGGGTAGATACGCCGAACCCGCGCGAAGCGATCATTGCATCAACATTATCATCATCACTCGCTGACCCACCCGACGAGCGGCTAGCGCTCTGCGTCGTGGGATCAGAGGGAGCCACGGGCCGAGGGGCATCACCCGAGGACCCCGCTGCAGGGTCGGGAGATAGGCCGTCGTCGGCATCATCACGAGAGTGTCGCAGAACACGAAGAAGCTGTCTTTCAAATTCCTCATCGCTGAGTTGTGACCCAGGATTTGGTGGGTGTTCATCATCGCGCATGGCGATATCCACCCCCTGGCTTGACGAGAAGTCGCCGTTACCTTCGCCCTCCGCCATGAGGACGAGATCCAAGTCGGAGGGGTTCGGGACTCCCTCGTGGTCGGTGCTGGCGTTATCTTCATCAGGCGGCGGTTCGCCCTGAGCGTGAGCTTCGAATGTCAAGTCGATGAGCAGGTGCGGCAGGACGTAGAGGTGCGGCATGAGCGCAGGAGGAGCGAACGGCCGAGCCAGGGTGATCTGCGCGAGGTAGTCGTCTCGGCTGGCAGCTGACATGCGCGACGGGTCGGCACGCCACCCAAGCTTTTTCAGGTGTGCCATGGCAAGCAGGCGAAGCCGACGCGTCCGTTTATCATCATGTACAAGCCAAGGGTCAATGAGCAGACGTCGTAATTGCTCACGAGCAATTGCGCAGTGGTACCACCCACTGAGACACCAGTCAAGAGCGAGCTGCCGCCTGCTCGCGGAGTCGCGGCGGAGGCCTTGAAGATCATCATACCTGAGAATGTTCTCCACATACTCGGGGCACCATTCGAGCCCACGCCACAATTATGTCCTCAAGCGCCTGACGGCGAGCAGCGATAGGAAGGCCGGTCTCCTCCGCTGGCGGGACAAAGGATTCAAAGAGCGCAGGGAGATCCGCCTCAGGAAGTGCAGACGTGGACGGCGAATCGCTACCAACTTCCAGTTCCTGCCCACTGAGGTTGCGCGGTTCAGTCGTAGTCCCACGGCGCCCCCTCATTGGTCGCAATGATACTACCGATGGAGAAGGAGTGCTCGTCGTTGTTGCATATGAAGTGCTGGCAGTGGCCCCATGGGCGACAGCCGCAGGCTGAAAGAGGACGCCCAGAGCGGGGGCGATCATAGGCGGTAAGCCAATGGATATCCCAGCTTGAGCCGTGATACTCTGCGGGCGTACCAAAAAGCAAACCGGTGATGAGAAGCAACGGGAAACGGAACGCCACGCTTCTTCCTTTGGGAGCACCTCATCAATCTGTCTCCCACCCATCTGTAAATCAGAGCCAATTCTGTCACGATAACAAACGAGTGGCACCCCCAGATCGTTCGTGTCCGTAGTAAAGGAAGCAGACCCCAGCGCTGACGGAAGACAACAAGGGAGAGACAATGACGATCTCGGTGAAGAGCCCGAGGAAGACGAACCCTCAGCAAGAGCAAGAGCGCCTTCAATGATTTTGATAGTCGGTGTTGATGGTGAGGGACGGGGCATGTCGCACGACGGTGGCGAGGAAGATCCAGACGATAACGAGGAA